ATTGCTAGATCGCAAGAAGCGACAAGATGGGGTTAGACGGAAATATTTTCCAAGAAGCTTACGGAATATCGTTATAGAAATAGGTTGGTAAACTGTAAGATGAACTGATAAGAAACTTTACATGATAATGGCAATATCAAAGAACGAGCAGTTTGCTTTGGATGAGGCACATTTGAACCCTACGATGGGGTTGCAGGCCTCCACTTAACCCCTTCGTATTTGAGCTATATCGTACTGACAGCTTGTAAGAGCGAAAACTAAAGTTCATCAACTGCACTGGTCATGTGTACATTTTTAACTTCACGTACCCAACCGACTCCTCCCACTGCCATCTTGGCTGCCATCTTGAACGATGCGTAGCTTCATGTAACACAAAAGCGAATCCTCGCCGACTTTCCTCTTCGAAATGGCCCATGGGAATTTTCATTCTCAAAAATAAAATGGCGGCCAGCAAGGATTGTTATAGATTTTCCAATATTGCTGGAAAATGAAGCTAAACTCACATCTTTGAATTGTTCGAAAAAATAACCTGAAACCATGTTCATATATCTGAGCAAAAAGGTTTGTTGCGTTCTGTCTTGTTGATTTGTTAATCTATTTTCACAGGTTTGTTTACATCTCAGATCGTTGTCAAGGCGAATTTTTTTTAAATCTTCCTTTTATTTATTTATTTTTTAATTTATAAGATTGCCATACCAAATAATGTCAGACTAAGATGCCTGGCTTGGAATCGAGAACAGGGGTACATTGCTTGTGGAGGTGAAGATGGATTGCTCAAAGTTCTCAAACTGGAAACACAACCAGGTGAGAATTAGATGGTAAATCAAACAACAGCGATTATCCTTTTGTTGCTAATTTCGTTTTATCTCCTCACCTTTCTAGTTTATGTTGTGTATATATATTACACCTACCAACTTAATCGTCACCCTGCCTCTGGAATCAATGAGAGTCCCGGAGAAACAAGATAAGACTCCCCGTTTTTCTCCCTTGGGGCCAGCCATTAAGTGCTTATTGATGTTGTTAGGAGAAACTACATTTTGGTCATGTGCAGGAGTGAAAATATTTTAGAATACAATCATGTCGAACAATTGTCATAAAATAATGTACATGAATATACTATCAAATTTCATTGTTGACAGGATATGTATCTCATTGCTCAGTGAGGACAATTCTTTGTGATGATCATGATTTCATTATCATATTCTGCAATATTCATACCTGACTCTGATGATGACTTCCGCACGGGTTGTCGAAACGTCAGTCACTACAACCGACAACAGTCCTTCTCAGGACTACACTCACCCGGACGATCAGACTACATTTTCACATGTTACCCCTGGGTTCAAGCCTTTTACTGCAATATTCATACTGTTTTGTTGCAGGAAAAGATGCTAAAGTTAGAGGATTGGCTGCTCCAAGTAATCTCTCTATGAATCAAACCCTAGAGGGACACACTGGTAAGCCCAAAAAAAGATGCATACCAGTTTTGATAAATTTAGTTCTTCTCCCTCTATTTAACCACCTTTACCATGTTTAGGATTTAAAAAAGGTGTTATGGTATCATCTAACCTTCTTCAACTATTTTCTGATGTTTTAGACTTCCTAAATCTATATTTGTTAAAATTAATTTTTCTGCTCAATAGGTGCTGTGCAAGTAGTAACCTGGAATGAACATTTTCAAAAACTGACCACAAGTGACCAATATGGCCTGATCATTGTCTGGATTCTGTACAAAGGTTGGTAGCAATATCTATTGTAGTGTTCTTTATCTGAAACATATGTTGAGGAAAGGCACTGGCTTACACCTTTAGAAGTAAGCTTGCTTAGTGGACTCTGTTTAGAGGTTTTAGATTCAAGACCAGGTCTGGTTATTTTTTTGTGTTTTTGTGCAAAACGCATTACTCTCAATGTGCAGTTGGTCTGAACCTAAGAATTTAAAGGGGTACAGTCAAGCCTTGCTTCGATCCTGACCTGGATTATCCGGATTTTTTTATTATCCATTTTTTTATTACTTCTCTGTTTCCATTTCCTATTCATATTTTTGATTATTCAGACTCTTGCTTATCCAGACTGAAGTCCACACTACGCTGGATAATCAAGGTTTAATATTACTAGCAAACTGTAGGAAGCCTGAAAAAAATTCTACCGGGGAGGGGTAATCTGTAATGGTGTAGCATTAGCACAGACTATAGCTAAATGATTTCAGTTAGGACATTGGGTTTTGATATTGATTACTGGTATTATCACTTGTCTGATTTAGAGTATCATCTGATAATAAGGGTGTGGTCAAACCAATTACGTGTCAAACCAAGATAAGGAAGTCAAAATAAACAAATAATTTGTGACAAATTTATAACGTACAGGGTCTTGGTATGAAGAAATGATCAACAATAGAAACAGAAGTGTTGTGCGAGACATGAAATGGAATGCAGATGGACAGAGAATCTGTATTGTCTATGAGGATGGTAAGTGTATGGTACATGCTGTGCTTTCATAATTTGCATTTGACAAACCTTGAGTATATACTACATGTATAAGTGTAATTTTTTTTTTTTTGAAATGGTATATGAAGCTACATGAATGATGACAAGCTACAAAATTGTTCCATCATATGACTTGTATAATGTCAAGTTAAAAGTGAATTATCTTTTATTGATTTTAATTAATAACACCATTCTCTGCTTTTGATGTATAATTATGTATTATGGGTTGCATGACTGAATGACCCGTCATATTAAATATCTCATGGATGTATACTATTCCTGTAAAGTGTGCTTGTTGATTTAAACAAGAGCTAGTTTATTATCGTCATCAAGGAGTATTTGGCTGTTTAGCAAGCTGGAACCACAGACCATTTATTTCTGCAAAGTTGTCTGTGTCCAGCTTCTTGCTCTCAGATCTATCGCACAGAGTGACATGTTTTAGTGAGACATTCCTCTGAAAAAGAGGCCTGATGACTTCTTACAAATATTTGTAATTAGTTTTTATTATCCAAGTGGGAGGTCTGTATGGGAGAATCTTGACCGAGGTCGCCAGTACAGACTGAACGCTGTGAGGTCTGTACCATTGACCGAGGTC